AGCCTGTTCAGCACGGCCTAGTGGGGATGGGATGGGATGGGATGGGATGGGATGGGATGGGATGGGATGGGATGGGATGGGATGGGATGGGATGGAGGTGCCATCCTGCCTCAAGCCAGCACTCCACATGTGCCTGACAAGTTTGGGTACCACTGCCAGGGATGGCTTTGTCCGCCCCTGGGTGTCCTGCAAGGAGCTGGTGCCAGAGCCTGGCACCACTGCAGCAGCTGCTCCAAACCTGGGGACAAAGCCAACCCAGCCAAACCTGTGCCCCATCCCTCCCTTATCACCCAGCCCAGAGCACCAAGTGCCACATCCAGTCCTTCCTTGGACACCCCAGGGGTGGGAACTCCACCCAGCACCTTGAACCCATCCCATTTTGGGGAGAAGAGCCCAAGGAAGGCTCAAGGAGAAGAACCCACGGAAGGCTTGGGGAGAAGAGCCCAGGGAAGGCTCGGGGAGAATAGGTCACAGAAAGCTCAGGGAGAAGAGCCCAGGGAAGGCTCAAGAGGTGCTGCTGGTGCCCCAGCAGGACGGCAGCAGCAGCAGCAGCAGCCCCAGCGCTCACCTGCTCGCAGAGGGAGCGGAAGCCCAGCTCCTCCAGGCGGTCCAGCTCGAAGGTCTCCCCCAGCAGGGGGTTGAATGGCTTCGCAGTGCGGTGCACGGTGGTGGAGTAGGAGGACACGGAGAAGGCGGCCACAAAGCACATCTGCTCCGTGGAGCTCTCACACTTCACTGCCTTGTCCAGCAGCTCGTGGTACTCCAGGTCCTCCGTGAGCCGCTGCAGCATGGACAGGGGCTCGTTGAAGTTCACCTGCAGGGGAACAGGGTGGGGTTAAGAAAGCAGGAGAGATCCCCAAGAGGCACCTCCAAGGCCAAAGGGACGGGAATATGTGCTCTGCTCCCTGACCTGTGCCAGGCAGCACCGAGGTTTGGGGTGTGGGATGATCAGGGATCAGCCCAGGTAACCACACTGACACCAAAATCAGCCTCAACAATGAGATCAGCCCCCTCCCAGCCAGCATCCCTCTGGGCACAGGACAGGGATGTGCTGCTCCCCAGCCTGCTCCCATCACCTCCACCCCTGTGTGACCCAGCTGCCCAGAAAACCTGGAAATGCCCCATTTTGGGGTCCCCATGCCCCTGAGACTCATGGAAAAGCCCCATTTTGGGGTCTCCATGCCCCTGAGACTCCTGGAAAAGCCCCATTTTGGGGTCCCCATGCCCCTGAGACTCCACTCCCAAGACCTCTATTTTCCTGAGACTCCAGTCCCCAACACCTCTATTTTTCCCTCTGAAAATACTGAAATTAAAAAATAGTTGAAACCAAGACAGAGCCACAAAAGGTCTTCTGCCTTTTTCGTTTCATTTCAAAACAAAGAAATATATTTTAAGAGGAGCAGATGGCTGAAGAACCACTTCTGTAAGCCAAGTTAAATATTTCATAGTAGAAAAAACAAACTGCAGATTCCAGGATTTAGCTTTTTTTAGATTTTCCACTCAGGGATTTAGCCTGCAAGTGGCAGGGATCTTACAGCATCAGAGAAAGAGGGAGCTGGGGAGAAAGAGCAGCATCAAATCCACATAAAGAGCAAATCACTTGGGATAATTCTCAGGAGAGATGCAGAGAACAAAGCCAGCAGCTGCATCCTCAGGCAACAGGGAGCAAAAGCCTTTCATGGGGGAAGAAGATGAATCCACCCAAATTCCAAATTCCTACAACTGTTTTTCTCCTTTTCAGTGCTGCAGGTTTGTTCATGTAGAAGGAGAATCAAGGAGCTGTTTGCACAAGAGGTTTGTCAGTCCCTCACATCCCCAGGAAGGGGATGGGGGTCTCAGAAAACCTCAGAAATGCTCNCAGGAGAGGCTGAGGGAGCTGGGCAGGGGCTCAGCCTGGAGCAAAGGAGGCTCAGGGGGCCCTTGTGGCTCTGCACAGCTCCTGCCAGGAGGGGACAGCCGGGGGGTCGGGCTGTGCTCCAGGGAACAGGGACAGGAGCAGAGGGAACGGCCTCAGGCTGGGACAGGGCAGGGGCAGGGGGGATATTGGGAACACTTCCTCATGGAAAGAGTGCTCAGGCACTGGCACAGCTGCCCAGGGCAGTGCTGGATCCCCATCCCTGCAGGGATTTAATATCCACATGGATGTGACACTTGGGGACAGGGGCAGTGGTGGCCTTGGCAGGGGTGGGGAATGGTTGATGCTCTCAGAAGCCACACCAGACCCCACACTCTCAGGGTGATGTTTTCACTTCCTCCTCTGCAAACAACTCAGCTCCTCCCCACCCCAAGATCCTTCTGGGAGCCTCCCATGGCCCAAAGCCCACGGGGACCCTGCCCTGGCCCTTCCCAGTGACACCATGCCGGGCCAGCCACCAGCTCTGTGTGTCCCATGGATGCACGGGGCTAAGAGGATGAAACCAGGGCAAATAATGGGATATGGCCATGACCTTCCCACCCCAGCAAAGCTCATTATCTGCTCCAAAGGTCCAGCTCCACAGGCAGCAGGCACAGAAATGCCCAGTTTGGCACCGAGGGTGGGAACTGCTGCCTGCTCCAGGCTTTAAATCCAGATCACCTGTAATTATCCTGTTACAATTAACCACGGGCTGGAACAGGGAATTAGGGGGAAAGGAGGTAATTATGCAGGAGCGACGGGTAGGCAGGGCTGGGAGCTGGGAGGAGAACTTGCTCCAGTACGTGATGGGAATCAACATCCTAGTGAAAAACAGCAGGAAACGCCTCGGAATCTCCCATCCCAAAGCTTCAAGGAGGACTCCATGCTGTATCCCAAAGGGAAACCTGCACCACTGGGCTTCATTTACAGCCATATTAAAAATCCAAGTGATGGAGAATGGCTGTCAGCACCGCAGAGTGTGGGGAGGTTTGGGAAGGAGCAGGATGGTCCTCACGAGGCCACGGATCCCACCACGGGCTGTGGAGCTTCCATGGAGCAGGTCAGGACAATGCACAGTCCAATGGCATCCACATGGATTTAGGAGCTGGGATACACACAGGGATTATTCCCTGGTTTTGAAAGGCTCTAGGGGCCCCTCTCTGCAGCCTCCTCCTCTGTAACTCAGACAATGGCTTGATCCAAACCCAGATCAAAGGATCCAGATCAACCCAAACAAGGACCATGTTTGCTCCTTGGGAGAGAAGTGATGCCAGGGGTAGAGAGGGGAGAATATCCTGCAAGAGGGATCTGCCAAACTCAGCCCCCACTGCTGCCACCAGCAGCCAAGCAAATTACAGTGATTAATTTGGGTTTACACCCCCTAGAGCCAGACAGTGCCCAGGTCCACAGGGATGCCCACTGAAGGGGGGAGCACCACCAAACAGGGATCAGGGGATCTTTTCTCAGTCTCTGTCAACTGAGCTCAGTCCTGAGCCAAAACTCATCCCTGTATGGAACAAGGGCTGCAGGGCACTGGGATGAGGAGCTCAGACACGAATATCCCAGCTCATCACTCATTGCCAGCATTAATCCCCTGCCTTGGTGTTCCCAAGGTACAGACAATCCCAGCCACTGAGCAGGAGCAACACCTCACAATCCAGCTTATGAAATTCTCATGGAGAGCTGGCTAAATTTAGTTCCAGCTGAACTTGCTCAGAGCTGTAAGCAAGACCCAGCCACAAACCCACAGAGGCTGCACAGGGACACAGGACAGCAGCAAGGGCTCCTTGAGGAATGCACCCACAGGAGGGCACAGAGCCCAGGCTGAAGGACGGAAGGGCACGAAAAGTGACTCCCCAGTGAGCTGTGGGGCTGAGGAGCTGAGGCCATGAAGGTACAACCATTCTCAAAGCTCTCCCAGGATCCACACTCTCTTTTTAAGCAACTCAACTTTCATTATATCTAAATAAAGATGTCAGGCTTGGAGTCCAGCTTGAGGAGTGTTGTGCTGTTGTTCCAGGTAGGAATGCCCTCCCTCCCCAGTGGATTTCCTTACTGCACATGGGGAGAGCTGACACCATGTACAGATTTCTCTGACAGAGGCACTCAATGACCTCAGAGCTGCTCTGTAAGAGCAAAGAGGAAGGGCACAGGATGCTGTGCCCATCCCCACATCTTCTCACCCCATCAGGCAACCGGGTTAATCCTCCACAGCATCCAAACTGCTGCCTCCCACTCGCAGAGGGGCAGCAGGTACAGGAGCCAACAGAACACGACCTGGATTTCAAACCCTGAAGTTCCAAAGGCTGTTCTGCCTCAGCATCATCACAGCACAGATGGGGCAGCCAGGCTGACAGGTCACCAGTGACCAGAGAGAAAAGCAAGCTCCATCCCTGTGCAGTCCCTGATCTCAGGGAACCCCAGTGTTCCCTGCAACCATGGGGCAGGAGGGACAGGGGTGGTTTCTCCTCCTCTCCATGGCTGGACAAAGTTGTGGCAGGTCCCAATCCAGCACTGGCCATTGGAACTGTAAATCCCAGCCAAGACAGGGAGGCACAGCCAAAAGAAATGGAAAAATACCATCGAGGCTCCTGCAAATTCCTGGAGGAAGAGGCAAAGTGCCATGGAGATCCTGCCGGGAGCAGGAGGCATCAGGAGGCATCGCTTGGTGCCATCAGCTCTGCGGTCCCTCCCTGTGCCCAGCAGCTGCCAAGGGCACATTTAGCACCTTTCACACATTTGTCACGGCAAATATCCCGATTTCACAGCTTGTTGCTGGCTAATGGGAACGTCGTTAACAGCCCCGGGATTATTCATGCAGTGGAGAACAATCACCCGAGGTCATTCGTGTCCTGCCAAGGTGCTGGTGTCACACACCCTCGGGGATCTCGGCTTCCTCAGTGGAGCAAACAGTCAAAATCCGAGGGAAGGAACAAAGAGATGAGGTTAATTAGCTTGAAAGGGTAAATGATCACAGCAAGGCCTGCCAGACTTCATACAATCATGGAATGGCTTGGCTGGAAGGGACCTTAAAGCTCATTTTATCTCATCCCCCTCCCATGGCAGGGACACCTTCCATTGCCCCAGGATGCTCCAAACGCCATCCAGCCTGGCCTTGGGCACTGCCAGGGATCCAGGGTGGGCACCCTGTGCCAGGGCCTGCCCACCCTGCCAGGGAACAATTTCTGGGGTCACCAAATGGTGACAGCCTCTGGGGGCAGCCCCAGCACAGCTGAGCATTCCCAGTTTCCAGCACAACGCTGCTGGATGGTGAGGGAATGGGCTCACACCTGCAATCCCACCTGCCCCAGCATCCCACACAAATCCAACCTTCGGACAGGAAAAATCCAGCAGGGAAGTGCCTGCTGTTGTGGGACCAACACCTCCTGCTCCTCAAGCATGGGACAAGGAGCACTTCACGGAACAGGAGTGACAGGAGAGGAGGCAAGTGCCAGATGGGTTCAATCATCTCCTGTTGTTGGGTGAATCACAGAGCAGGAGCCGTCACTGCACTCAGCAGGGACAGAGCTCTGTTCGAGTGCCTGGCAGATAAGTGCTCCCTTCCTTCCTGGAGTCATCAAAACCCTGGGACACAGCTGCTGCTGCTGCTGCACAACAGCCCCCAGGGAAGGGCCTTTGTTTGGCTCTGCACTCAGCACAGAGCAGAGAATCAGCATCACGGGGTGGCTGGGAAGGGACCTTGGAGCTCATCTCCTTCCACCCCCTCCAAGGGCAGGGACAGCTGCTCCGAGCCCTGTCCTGTCACAGACATCTTTTATGAAGAATCCTTTCCTTAGGATTTTTCCTCCTGAGAAGCTGAGAGGCCTCAGGAACAAAACGTAAACAATGGTTATCTGCTGCTGTAAAATACAAGAAGTAGATCTTTGATTAACCCATGTTTGTTGTTTCTAATTAATGGCCAATCACAGTCAGCT